TCAGTTTTAATTGCAAAGCTCCAGAGAAAGATGTTTATTAAAAAAATGGGATTTTCTTTATAAACAAAAACAAGGTGTTTGCCACAATTTGTTTTTCTGATTTTAGAAAACATTACATTTTGTCACAGAGAATCAACTTGAAACAGATTAACAGTTATTATATAAATTAAGAAGATGAACAAAACACATAAAGTCTCCTGTTGCTCGGCTTCCATATTATGCAAACAGTAAAGTGAATTGAATATTTCTATTTGTGTGACAGTTCATTTTGGTGTCCTCTTTGCTGTCCGTGTTTAAACTATATTGATTCTTTGAACAATCAGACAACTATTTGGATCGAGACAAAAAAAAACTTAAATTGCCGGGTGTAAATTGCCAGATAAAAACAATATGTGTACATTGTCAGAAAAATAAAAGTTATTTTTACTCGATACGAAAAATGAGAAAAGCTTGGCAAATCATCCTTTTTCCATGTTTTCATCCAGTTTCTAAAGCTCATACAAATAAATTGTACATATATTGTATATATTGTATATGTATGTTGATAGCTCATCTATATATATATACATATAACAACCACTAAGGCAATCTGTTCCTAGCCCTTTTAAGACAATTGAACTTTCTTGGACTTGGTAAAAGATTTCTGCAAAAATAAATTATACAATAATTGTAATACTTTATAAATATTTTAAAATAAATTTCCAGAGTTACATTAGTTAAAGATACATGAAGGCAAATAATGGCTGACACACATTGATTATACCATGCAAGTGGTGTGTTAATGTTGAAAATGTTGACAATAAATTAACAATATTGCCTTAATTGCCCAGCATACATGTACATTCTATTGTTGGTATGTATATGTAGTTTGAACTGACCATGATTTTTTTTATGTCTAATGTTTTCTTAACTACCATCAAATTTTTATACTAGGTCTGGGCAGTGGCATTCATATTCAAGATAAGACAAATGTCAATACAGAGTGTTTTCTTTATATCAATGAGACAGCAACTCACCAACTTTTTAAAATGACTTATAGTGGTCAACAATAGAAAAGTTTAAAGTGCTCTTCTAAATCTATTTATCCTGCAAATTCAGCCAACTTTTGAATTATAAATATTTGATTATAAGTAGAGTATGCAAATAAAGTTACCTTTATCTTGCCTCAATGTTGAGCAAAAGGTAATGCTAAAAACTAATGTTCATGTCACAGATCATTTTGGGAATACTTCAAAAAATAATAGCACATTGTTTTAGTTTAGTTTCTACATTCTGAAAGTGTTGATTTTTTTGCCCCACATAGGGGCATCATGTTTTTTGGTCTATGCGTCCGTTCGTTCCTTCGTTCGTCCATCAGTCCGTCCGTCCGTCCGTCCGTCCGTCCGACCCGCGTCAGTTTTGTGATGAACTTGAAACTTAGTACACATGTTGCCTATGATATGATCTTTCTAATTTTAATGCCAAATTAGAGTTTTGACCCCATTTTCACGGTCCACTGAACATCGAAAATGATAGTGCTAGTGGGCATCCGTGTACTATGGACACTTTTTTGTTTATAACTGTTTTATGCTACAGAAATGACACATAAAATGCGCAATTACTTATACATGTACAAAGATCTAAGGAAATACATAATTTGAAAGTTCAAACTTACCTATTTCTTTTTCAAAATTTATTTCCACACTACATACATCGTTTCTGAGCTCTGTGACACACTGCTAGCATAATCCTACAACAAAAAGAGTAAATAATTATATTTCCTTGCTGTCTGGTCCACTGTGAAAAAAATGACTCGGGGTTTGGGGAAACAATTGATTCCTATGCCCTGCCACTTAGTGGCCCCCTCATATATTGATCTGTTTTTTGTCTGTCTATAATCAAGATCAATAAAGTAAAAAAGAAACTTCAGCAAGTTTACTCTCATTATTGTCTATTTACAACTTACAAAACAAGTTTGTGTTTAAGTTCATTTTTGTTGTATCAAAGAATTGTTATTATCCATGTAACATTGAGAAATACAAAAAAATATTAAACAAATTACAAATTACATGTTCTGACAAAAAAGTCAACATTCTAATGCTTACTCATAAATATGGACCTTGGTTATCTATTATTATTTTATTTAATACACATTGTACTCTGATTCCCCCTTTGTATTCTGCACAAAATTTTCGAATTATATGTGTTACTTGATGTTCAAAACTGGCTTTGATTTTTTTAAAAATGGGAATTACACATTCTCTCTTCCTTCTCCTTCAAATTTTACTGACATTTCATGTACATGTGCTCTTTCACTTAATTGTCATGATAAACAACAGAATTTTAAGAATGACATTGAGCATTTTTAACAAACATGTCTGTAGATTTGGGGACCAACTGTCAAACATTTCATAATAATGCCCTTAAAATAAGAAAAGAAAAATGGGAAATAACTCTTATTGAAATATGTCTGTAAATTGTTTCAAATCTTGTTTAGATTATGAAAATGTGCATTCGAAAATATTTTTTTAGTAATCTTATATTTAATTTATGCAAGAGTCAATATTTTCAATATAGTAAACATTCGTTTCTGTCTGATTTTACCTGTAATTGATATTTGAAAAAGGAGGGAAAGGCCCATTAAGACGTATTTCAAATGAAAAATTAAGTTGATTCTACTTATTTGCCATTGTGTGGATTTTTTATATTTTAAAAAACTATGAACGATGTTTACAATAAAGTTCATTTCATGAATTTCCATCTTCACCTTTTCGGGAACCAGTGACTCAAACTTCATTAGAAAACAGCATATATAAAAGTAGGTTAGGTTTCATATATAGCTTTCTATTGAATAGTTTAAAGATCAAAACATCTCATAAAAGTGTAAACCATGATCTATTATAGTTGTTATTATAATATTATCAAGTATTTACCAAACACAATTTGTTTGACAGTTTTTATAAGCTCATCAACTGAACCGGTTTTGTTTTGTAGAAATTCAAACCATTTCAGTCAAATATGCAAATTAGGCTGTTACTAAATATAGAAACAAATTAGAGGCGTCTAATATGTTTTTTTTTTTTCTTTTTTTTTTATTTCTTATGTATCTTACATCTTAAAAAATCTGAATTGACCAGACAAGTTTTGACCATCGATCTGGACGATTTTTTTAATTTTGTATGGTTTTCTGTGAGACAAGCTCTTAATTGCAATAACAATAATGTTATAAGTAGTTTCATTTCATTATGGAAAGGACTTTTTTTTAAATATTATAACATGATATCGTAAGAAAGCAAATATTAAAATGTTTATGGAAATCAAATTTATTCTTGCGCAAATATAGAATTTCAATCCTGGTCTTTATGATGAGTTTATTTATACAAATTAAAAAAAAAAGAATTGGGTCAACAATTTCATTGTTATTTAAGTGGACTCTCATTTATGTTGATCATCAAAGTCAAAATTGAAAATAAATCCACCCAAATTAATGTTCTATGATATTGACTGTTCATGTAGTTTATAGGATTAACACATTTTTAGAGGATATAACGGGATTAACTCAGAAACTAAATAAAAGTCCAATGGACTTTTACCTAAAGTTTGTCAATCACCGAATGTAAGTCTTATAAACCCAAACATATGCAACTTTTAATAAACATTGTTTTGTTCATTGGTAACTATTTGCCATCAAATCCAAAAAATGCCGTAACATAGGAGTTAGCCGCCATATTTACTTTTTGAAATCCATAAATGTTCGATTAGTATAATACAATAACAAAAAATCAAAAGCTTCATTTTAATGAGATATTATCCGAATTTGAATCGTACAAGTAACGGAATAGCCTTCATTTTGAGATTTGTGTTTCGTTTGACGTAATGATTTGCAATGACGTTGATGCGCTAAGATCAACCATGAAACTTTGCTGAACTTTATTTTGTTTTGATTTTAAACATTTTCAAAGAATTAATGCATTATTTCATTTTGCTGTGCATTAGAATAGAAATAACAGTGATGTTCTTGCTTTTCGGATCCCATGCATGTGTATCGCACATGAATATAATTCAGTAAAGGTAATGACAGTTGCTTTGGCAACATGGTCTTTCGAAGTGTACACCAAGGGATATCAATCTAATGGACAAATTCGATTAAAGCATGTGTTGATATGCAAATCATATAAGAATGATAATATTCGAAGTGTTTCGTTAGGGAACACAAAATCTTTTCAAAGAGTAATCGTATATCACAAGGTCTCACAATGAAACATTAGGAAAGGTTAATTCATTGAGTGAAATGTTTACATGCCTAAATTGGTTATTCTAAAGTTGTAGTATAGAAGCTAGGATCAATAATATTGAACCATGACCATGAATCATAGTGAAATCTTGTTAGATAATTCTTTATCTATGCTTAAACTATTTTCATATACAAAATTTGTAATCAGCAAGTAATCATATGAATGTTATCTAAAAGTAATCTGAATGTTATCATGATTACACCAGTCCTGTTTTTTTTTTAAATTGTATTTAGAATTAGCATGATTACTAATAATATGTGATTAAATTGCAAAATGTAATCGATTACAGCTGATTACGATTTCTGAATACGATTATCCCACGTCTTTTCATGAAACTTATTGATTATATAGACAACGTGTTTCGTTTTCTATGCATTGAGTTTGAAATTGAAGTTAACGGATTGATTTCAATTTTTAACCAAGGATACACTTTCATTACACATATTTAATGTAAAAGGTTATATCATTTCGGTAAAATAGTGTTCTGTTTAACGTTACATTGAAAGAAATAAATATCAGTTTATTGAAAACGTTTGATTTTGTCCGTTTATATGACTTCCCCCTTTCAAAATTTGCCTTGCAGTTTTCTGTTTCTGTTACACTTTTAAAAAAGCATATATTGTTAATGAAAATCCACCCAGTTTCAATATACCGTTTCAACATTATGTCGCCTGATTCGTATTTTTAAGAGAAAATAAACCGAGTAGTACATTTTTTGATTTACAGGTATGCAAGAATCCTTTCAGCAAGTTTGTTCTGACAGATTTTGTAATAATACAAACCCAGACAGCATTGGCTGTGCAGGTTGTTGTGTAGGATCTGGCTGTAATGGCCTAGCTGGTTATTGCGAAAATTCTAAATGTTATTGCAACGGATGCGAAGTTAAGAAAAGTAATTATAAAGGTGAGTATTTAACTCGGTCAAAAATTTATTTAAGATTTTAACGTTACGATAAATTTACGGCAATACCAAGACGAGATAAATCAAAAGTAACAATAGTTTGACCCGACAACAGACAGTCACCTGCTCATGATGAATGTCTAATGAATATGCTTACCCCTATCGAGGCTGAATATGTGTATCCTTTCAAGTTAAATTTTATGAACTTAATTTCTGGGCTGTTTACGTGTTTTCTCTTTTATTTATCAATGGTAAAACAATAAAACCAAACAGTCGATTTTCTAATGTAATCTTCAAAACATTATCGTTAAGGTTTTAACTACACTTAACGTTCATAACTTAACCCAAATCCGCAAAAGAGTACCATCTACTTGGTTGCATTTTAACAGTCTATAACCTGTTCTGCATCAGGGAAAGCATCACGTTCACATCCAGTTGTAAACTTGAGAGAGGCTGAAGAGACCAAAGGGATACTTAAACTCATAAGTTGAAGACAAACTCAATTTGCTATGGGAAAAAAACGTAAACCTACTAAACGAGTAACAACATTCTTCAAAACACAACAAAGAAAACTAAGCACTGAGCAACACACACCCCATACAAATCGTGAGGATCTAAGGTGCTCAGAAAGGATAACTGGATCCTGATCGACATGTGACACTAAAAGTTTTCCTGTTTTACATAATGAATAGAAATTAAGTCTAATTCGGTGATGTCACATTCCATAGGACGTTATTTTCATGACGATAATTAGAATATACCCGTCGTCATCTGTACATTTGATAAAATATTGCACATGAACAGAAATGAATAGATTAAAAAGAAATTTAAAACATATCAGCGATTTTGCTTTTGAAGTTCAATAGTTTCTCTGATTTCTGAAAAAGATACAGATAAATACCGACTTATTGTATATTTTAAACGTCTAGCCCAAAAGTAAGACAACAGTAGTTTACCTATGTTAAAATCTGGTAAATCGATTAAGAAGAAACAAATAAAGAAAACAAACAAAAACAGAGGAAATCACATAAATCAAACAAACAAAAGCGAGACAAAGTGCGTCGACACAGTAACCGTCTCCTGCCATTCATGTGTAACCTGAATAGCGAATCCACACTCAATCAAAATGTCACAGTCGAGAATAGGAAACTGTCGGTTAAATTAAAGATTTAGACGACTATATTGGTATTTAAAGATTAAAGACCGCATAAACATGTCGTTGGTGACTTGAGACACAATCATAAAGGTTAACTAATTCGTAAAGGTAACCATAAAACGTATGTAGTGTCGACTGAAAGAGACATAGACGGGAGAGAGCATGAAAATAGCATGATTTTAATAGCACTAAGACAACCAATATGTGTCATAAAAGAAGATATTTCTTACTTTGCATGGTCCACTCATTTCGAGTTATTCAGCTACAATTTCTGTCTTTTAACTTAAATGTTTCGTGTTTACTAATTGTTTGTGCTTTTCAATTAAAACCTTGTGTTTTTGTTCTTGTATTTAATTCTCCTAATCACTTATATTTAAAAACCTGTTTTGGTCAATTTCAATTAAGAGTTGTTGATAGTCAGGTGAATGATATAGTTGTTATGCAGAAAAATAATTCAATAAACCATCATTTAGGAAAAGAATAGATACAACAGCGCTTATTGATATCATGCATGGAACGCATTTCTTCTTATGTTCTACTGTTACACCATTGTACCAGTTTAGGAAGAGGATAGGCGCCTTCAAACATGTTTAACCCTATCACATTGTTTATGTGTCTGTCCAAAGTCAGGAGCCTGTAGTTCAGTGGTTGTGGTTGGTTCATGTCTGTCATATTTTTTTTTCGTTAATTAGTTTGTTGTAGATTAGATCGTTAGTTTTCTCAATTGAATTTTTTCATATTTTTCATGTAGGGGCCTTTAATAGCCAACTATACGGTATGGGTTTTCTCATTGATGAAAGCTGTACAATTGCCTACAATTTTTAAATCCACTTCATCTGAATTTTGTTGAAAAGTTGCCTCATTGGTAATTATACCGCATCTCTTAACTTTTATATTTATATTGTGTTTATTGTTATTTAGTATCAACTTCAAGAGGAGGATTTGGTTCTGCTTTCAGCTCTGCGAGAAGTTCGATAAGTATGTAATTATGAAAGGACATATATATATATATTTTTATCCAACACAATCCTAGGTTTGAACGTTGTTTTCAATTTAGACTTGTATATATGTTCACATGTCGACGTAGCAGTCATTTGTTTGTTATAAATAGATTTAAAATTTAAAACATTTCCAATCCTAAATGTCACGTTATAGTGTACTTTGTAAATAGCTTTGACAAATATAATATAGTCGTTCATACAATCGCTCTGAAATTGACAAATATGGAAGTAGCCATCACACGTCGTATAGACCATCACACAACAGCGGAAGAGCCATCGCACTTCGGCGCAGACCAATGCACTTCAACGTGATCATCGCACTTTACCGTCACAATCGCAACTCCGAGTTCTACATATACATTAGAAAAAAAAATATCGTAAATTTCCATTGCAAGAGAATTGCATTAAAAAAATGATTTCTCATTTTCAAGCATTATCAAAATTCATTAAGGCGGTTATTTTAGGTGGTTGGCTGTAAAAATATTCGCACTCAACGATTATCTTGTCTAATGTTCTTGGGGACAATATGGTGATATCTGACTTTTTAAAAACAAACAAGTATCATAATTAAATTTTATGAACTCATTTTCAGGACTGTTTCATGGTTTCTCATTCAGGTATCAATTGTAAAACAATACGCCAAAATAGTCAAATATCTGATTTTACGTTTAAAACATTATCGTTACAGTATTTTGATACAGTTTAAGTTGTTCATAACTTAAGATAAATTCACTAAATATCGCCATTTTGGATTGTAAAATAGCACTACACAATCGGTCAATATTCTGCTTAAATCTAGAATTTTTGAGACAGATTGACAATTAATTTTCAAAACTGTTTGTTTAGATAAGGAAAAATAAATAAATTATTGAATAATTTAGGTATTTCTAACAAATATTAAAAAATTGTTCTTGTTTATGCAATTTTTCAATTTACCCATATAAAGGAAGATAACTCTTTTATAGTAAAAATGCTATAAAGAAATGTTACTCGAAATTTCATTTTTTACTGGTATCAAGAAAAACAAGTTCGGTTAGATTATTCTTTCTTTATATTTTCTTAGAGCATATAATAAAAAAATACTTCTCAAATTTGATATCAAATATCTATCTCCTAGATTCTTTTTATTCATAAAAAGTGTTTTGTAAAGAATAATCTATGCAAAATTTGGCAATTATGCGAGACTTGATGCTTGGAAAATAGCAAGGAAACCCATACTTTCAATTATATTTTTGAAAACAAAACATGGTCAAATCTACATTTGACGAAGTATACATGTAAGAAAATTATATGTGAGGAAATATATAGTTATGATCCACCTTATCCAACATCTACAAAAGAGCATACTCTATTTGGTGGCATCTTTACAGTCTATAACCTTTTTCTGCATCATGGAAAGCATCACAATCTTTTCCAGTAGTAAGTTTTCAAAAGAAGATACCACAGCGATACTTAAACTCATAAGTCGAAGACAAAATAAAAACGTCATGACAAACCACGTCATAAGACTAAACGATGAACAACGTTCTTCAAAAACATAACATAGAAATCTAAAGATTGAATAACTCGAATCCCACCAAAACAGGGGGATCTCAGGTGTCCAGTAGGGTAACCAGATCCTGCTCTATATGTGACACCCGCAGTGTTGCTCATCATGTACGTACACAATAGATGGAACGTTTAATTCATTGATATCACATTCGAGAAAAAGGGACTGGAGTATGGTTACAACGACTGGAACATATCCTTTCTCATCTTTACATTTGATAAAAACAGTGCACATACACAGAAATGGAAAGTTTAATTAGAAAATCAAAACAGATCATCAATTTTGTTTTAAAAGTCAAAAAGTTTCCTGATTCTAAAAAGATCCTTGTCATATGCAGATGTTTAGTATATTCTGAAAATCTAGCTTAAAATTAAGACGACAGTAGTTATGTCAAAATCTGGAAAATATACTAAGAAGAGACAAACTAAAGAACAAACAAATTCCTAGGAAATCACATAAAATCAAAAAGGAGAGAGATTCGGTTGTGTCGATAGGGTAAGCGTCTCTTGCTACGTACGCATAACATGCCATGCCAATCAACAACCAATCAAAATGTCACAATCCAAAATAGGAAACTATCGGTCAAACCACAGATTTAGACGAATAGACTACTTTCTAAAGATTTAACACCGCAAAAACATACTGGTTAGTGCCTCCAGACACACACACAGACTTAAAACTTATGAAGTGTCGATTTAAACAGACATAAATGGACGAGAAGATAAAAATAGCATGACTTCAATTGCACTTAGACAATCAATATGTGTCAAAAGAGCACACGTTTCTTACTTTGCATTGAACACCCATTCCGAAATATGTTGCTAGAATTTCTGTCTTTTAACTAAAGTTGTTTGTTTTATTAGTTTTAGTGTTTCTGTCCGTTGAAACCTGGTCTTTGCACCTTTGGAATATTTTTTGTTGTTGTATTAAATTCTCATAATCACTTTTTGATCTATTTCAATAAAACAAATGTTAATGGTCAGGTGAATGTAATAGCTGGTAGACAGAAAAATAATTCAAGAAGCATTCACTTAGAAAAAGAAAAAATACAGCAGCGATTATTTATATTATTTATGGAAGTTATTATTGTTATTTATTATTAATTTCAGGCGGTAAAATTGGTACTGTTTCGGGCTTTTCGAGAAGTCGGATTGGTATGTAATACAACAATGACATATACATATTAGATAATGATCAGAATTGCAGATTTTCATTGCCAAAGAATTGCATTCAAACTTCAATTCATGTATTATGAAAATTCATTAAAATGGTTTTTAATCAACGATTGGCTGTAAGGATATTCACTCCTAACATTTCTCTTGTCTAATGCACATGCTGACAATATGGTGATGTCCGCTATTTAAAACGTAGAGACTTATATACGCAGGTAATGTCAAAATAAATACTTCATGACATTTTTACATATCTAATGATTAAATGATGTTCTTTTTTGACTGGGAACGATTTGGTGATGTTGCATCTTACAAAGTCTATTCGAATCATTTTGCAAAGAATTTCGCTCAAACCGGTGCTAGGGTCCGTCTTAAACTTGCAGTGAGGTGAGACTTTTTTGTTCCGTGTTGAAGGGCTCATTGTGACTTTGAGATGAAGAACACCAATAAAAGCGCTGTTTTTAGCTTTATGTGTGTTTTTGCTGTGCATGTACTGATTTTGTGTCATGGAAGGATTCCCCATATCCTTTGTTTTTCTATTAATTTCGACTTACACTCGATGTTCGTGATCAAAAGAACACTTATTTACGTAAGAAAAATCAAGTAGCAAGTATAATTAGAAAGATTTTTTCTCAAAATAATCACGCATCTTTAACTGATACACCAATTGCGTGCCGTTCATCATATTTTCATCTGGTCAGACAATTTCGAAATTGATTCCAAAATATTCCACAGCAAGATATATTGTGCTTGCATGATATTTCTTTTTAAGTTTTTGTGACAAAAATAGCAACAATATTGATAAATAGAATGACGAAACAAAACTATAATAAAAAAAAAATTAATTTGTATAAAATTGAGAATGGAAATGAGAAGTGTGTCAAAAAGACATCAACCCAACCAAAGTGCAGAAAACAGCCGAAGGCCACCAATGTGTCTTCAACACAGCAAGAAAATCTCCCACCCGGAGTCGGGCTTCAGCTGGCCCCTAAACAAAAATGTGTACTGGTTCAATGCAAATGGACGTCACTAAACTCCAAAACATGTAAATGAACTAAAATTAAGACTAACAAAGGCCAGAGGCTCCTGACTTGGGACAGGCCCAAAAATGCATATATACCTCGTAATAAACAGGCGTTCCTATTATAAAAGAAGATGTAGTAAGATTGCCAATGAAACAACTATAAACAAGAGGCTAAATGAAATCAATGTAAAACATTTATAGGTCACTATATGGCCTTCATTAATTAGGGGGAAACCCATACCGTAGAGTAAGCTATAATAAACCCGATATGACAAAATGTTAAATAATTGAAACGAGAAACCATCGACCTGATTTATTATAACACAATAAAAGAAAAGCAAATATGAAAGGCAGCAGCAAACAACAACCCTTCAATAACAGGTTCCTGACTTAAAACGTGTTTTTCAACAAACAATCAGCATTCCCACACGAACTCTGCTACATTTCTTGCCGACCTTTTCCTTCATTTAAATGAGGCTAACTTTATTCAAGAGCTTTTTAACAAGAATCTTCCTAACTAATTCTCTGTATCCATGAAATAATTTGTAACGGTTGTAATTAATGTGTGGTAACGAGATCTCTGACTTCATGATTTTCAGCTTGACATAAACTGCGTTCAATAAAATCTAAAACGCGACTACAGATACGGGTATAGCAAACACCTAGTGCAATATACACACCGTAAACAATACTTCGGGTAAATGTCCTCAAAAAATTAGTATAGTTCAGACTAGAGTCGAGTTATATTAGGTAAAATTTAGACCAATTCAGAATGGTCGAGTCAAATCAGTACAGTTGAATAAACAAACTGCTCATTTCAAATATTTATTGGTTTGTAGTGTATGGAAAATTAAATTTAGGCGCTAAGATAGGTCAACGAATAATATTTTGTAGCAAACAAGTAATTGCAGGTAGAATCTGCGTAAATTATATTGAGATTTCCTTGATGTAACTTTATCCTTTGTCTCAAATCAAGATTTTATTAACGCATACATGTAACGTTATGTAAATAAACGAAATTTTAACATTGGCAGAAGGGAAATTTAAGAAGATTGAATGTTCACTATCATTTAAAAAGAAATTTTGAATTAAAGTTAATCAAGTTGTTTTACAAAATATAAAAAAGGCACTAACTATTGAGCGCCCTAGGATACTTTAAATATGATAAAGAAGATGTGTGATATACCTCAATGAGCCACCAATCCGACGACACAAATTACAAAAGAAAACCTGTCAGCAGTAATATTTGTGTTGGTGAAATGTAGTTTGTAAATTCTTTTATTTGCAGAACAATAGATTTTGGTAGAAAAAAGTAAGAAAAGTCAATAATACTATTAGTGAAATTTTAAATATTTCAAATATACTTTATACAAAAAATAAAAAAATGGGATATGGTTGTGAATGAGTCAACTCTCCAACACAGACCAATAAAGTAGAAATTAGCCACTAAAGGTCACCGTATGACTTGAAAAATTACCACAGCCCATACTGCACAGTAAGCTAAAAAAAAAAAGGAACCGAAATGACAAAAATAAAACAATTCAAACGTGAAAACTAACTGCCTGTATGTACACTGAATTACAGTACAGGCTTATGACTGTGGACAGGCCCATACAGAATGTGGCATGTTTAATTTTTTGCTGGCTGCAAACCCTCCATCTCATATTCTTCGTCTTAAAATATGACCAGCAATGCAAGATCCGCAAATTTGCGATTACGAAAGCAATATTTGTATATTGTCTGTTAAGGAAGTTGGACACAGTTAAGCTAGACTTTCCTCGATGTTAATGAAGCATGTGTTCCAATCTCGATGAACAAAGAACAGACGTATGATTTCGCAAATTGACACATTTAACCTTTTTGGGTAAATTAAAGACGAACTATATGTTATTTGTGGTGTCAGCCCTGAAAAATCTTAGATATCAGATGACGAAAGTCTGTTGTAAAGTTGTCACATCATTAGACATATTAAAAAGGAAATATATCGATGTGACTAAATGGTAAGTAATTGTAATAATTAATTTCAATTTTCACAAACATCTGATCTACAATGTATTCAGATGAAGAAGCATATACAACCATACATAATGTTCTATGTTACAACCTCGTATTATGCCGACGAGGAAAGATATCAGCCAACAATTAACAAGCTTAGCTAGACGATTGATTTGAGACTTGGGAAATAGTAAGGGCGGAAGTACCACGACGTCATCCGATAATTTCAGATCCCGCTGAAGGAAAGACGCAAATGCAGATTTTACGTGTTGGGCTAAATATCCGACGACCTTTATATAATCGAACGTGTTAACTTGTATAACCTTAGATTATACAACGGAGAATATCTACCGTACTGTTGTCAAACACACATTTATAGATATAAATCATATCTTTCTAATAGTTATACCTCCAAATAATATTCTTTGCAGATTATAAAACTATAATGTGACATGTTTTAGCCTTTGTTTATTAATTAAATATATGTGGTATTTTTCTAAAATTTCACTTGGTGCTGGAATAGAAAAGTAAATTATTTTAATAAAATAACAATGTTTGATTGGTTGACTAAATAATGGTTGCTTACAGCTCAATTTAAACTTAAAAAAAACAGAAGGATAACATGGTCACAGTTAAATATAGAAGTGAAGCGCTCTCATATTGGAAATAAAGTTTGTTTACATCTTGAAATATGGATCACAGCCATGCATAGAAACTATGGTCAACTGGTATTATTAGTAGTAAAACAACATTCCATAGCAACCCTTTCCATCGAGACGACGACCCTCTTATTGTCTCCTCCTAACATATTTGCGTCGTTTTGGTTTTTCCTTTATTGGTATTCTCTGTTTTTCTTCGGCTTTTGATTTTTTATTGTCCCTTTGTTAATTGCCTTCTTTCTTTTTTTATGCTTTTGATCGACAAAAATGCTTTCTAATACATCAATTTCTTCATATACTAATATATTTGACAATTTGTTTTCAAAGTGACATGTTTATAACTCTGCTTTATATGTAGTTTTTAAAATATTAATTTATAAATATTCAAAAGAAAATTCATGATGAAAACCATTATTTCGCCCCTCGAATTGTAATATAGAAATTGTTTTACCTCTTCCAAACTTAATGAATTTAATGGATAATGATATATATTTATGAAGTCTGACTAATTCAAAATAAGAAATGCTATGTATACTGTCCTTAACTTTTTGAATTTGTCATTATTTTACGTTTTATGTAGCACAACAGTATATTTGTTTAAAATGCAAATTGTATGTTTTAAAATGTGTCTTTATTGTTTGCTAAGATATAAAATACAAAAATAGAACATCCATTGAGACTGTATAAACTCTCTGTAACTCAAATTACAAATAAGGAGATTAAAAACGTGCTAACAATTGACTATTTGTGGTACCGTAAATTCGTATTTTAACAATAAGAAGTATTAGTCTTCAACCAAGTAAACTTTTGTTTTGTTGATATATAAATGTTTATTCGGAGTTCTAATATCATGTCCTATTATGAAAAAAATTTCTGGATCTATGTTTGTTATCGTGTAAATATCAAAGATGATTTAGCACCTGACATAAAGATTATTATACACCGTAATATTAATGCTCTTTCTGATAAACCTCAAATGCATTAAATATCTACTAAGCCAACCATGCTAATTTGAGAAGGAATGGTGTATTTGATAATTTTCTTCCAAATATGGTTTTCAGAAACATTCAGAGACAAATGGTGTTACCCAAATCTTTTGAAAAAAAATTTCGGTCACCCCTTCTTCGATATGGTACTTCATTTGTCTCAATGTTGTTTGATTTGGCCTTAGAACTTTTTTTCATGCGAGTGTCACTCTCGAGTCTTTTGTAAACGATAAGCGCGTCACGCGTACACAATTATAAGTCTTGTATCTTTGATTTTTTTTTTCCTATTTAAATGCAATCATCCTAAAGTAACATTTC